GTCTGGTGAGCGCACGCGCCCTATAGCAAAATCCTCTCAAAAAAAAAAAAAATTCATTTCCATGAGTCAACATCGCTGTATCCCCCGGGGCCATTCCTTCTCACACCCACCCAGTCCTTTAGAACGCTCTACCTCAACGTCCACGTGTGAAGGAGAACACGCGGCATTTCTCTGTCTGTGCTGGGCTTATTTCACCTAACACAATGTCCTCTAGGCTCCTAGAAAGGGCGTTTCTGGTGCATACAGCAACTAGATTTCAGACACGTGCCTCTAAGTCAAGCTGAGGCAGGCCAGCCTGAGGTCTGGCAGGACGACAGCCAGTTTGAAATGAAGAAAGGCCTCAAGGAGAACCACCTGACCAAGTGCTGCGTCCAGTGAGGGCTGGCTGGAAGGAATCAGCGTAATTAACTCGGGGGAGAGCGATGGACTCCGGTTGGAGTGAGGAAGGATTTGCAACTGCTCCAATCGTGTATCAGTAAATACCAAGAGCAAGTTGAGCTTTTAGAGACCGTTGGAGGGTGCTTGCGGACTGTTCACCGGAAATAAACTACCTTCTTCTGCATTATCTGCCTCTCCTTCCCTTGACCAGGAGGAGCAGCAGCGGGACTTTAATGCAAAAACAGCTCCGGGCTCCTTTTCCCACCTGCGTCCGAGATCTTGGGGGAGACAGAGTTGCATCTTCTTGCCAGCAGGGGGCGCCAAAGACCACGCGTTTCCCATCCCTTTCCGTCCGCTAACTCCATCGTTGTCCGGGCTCTAAATTCTCAAATCGGCTCAACCTGGAATGCAAATTGGAATCACCAGGGGAACTTGAAAAACCATCTCCACGTTCAGGCAGCACCCCAGACCAATCGAATTAGAATCTCTGTGATTTTTCAAAGCTCTTAAAGAGCTCGGTGTCCTGCAAGTGGAGATGACTGATCCGAAGCTTCACAATTCTTAAATTATTAGTTTCCCCTGATCATCAGGAAAGGCAGGACAAGGTGAGGGGCTGCGAGGCAGATCTTTCAGACCGGCGGGTTATGGCGCTTTCAGCATCAGAATTGCCAAGAGGGCTTAAAAATAAACTCTTGGGACCGATAGATGGCGTAATGGTTACGTGGATGGACTCCCACATGGCAGATTCCCAAGTTCCGGGGATCAGCAGATGTAACCGTTATGTCATCTGCTGATCCCAATTATGAGTTTAATTTTGCCAGAGAGAGACAGAGAAAGAGAAAGAGCAGACTCACGCCGGGCGCGTGTGCGTGTGTGCCCCAGATCCCAGAAGACAATGGAGGAGAAGGGATTGCAGCGTGGCCCTCCTCCCTGGGGGGTGATTTCTCGCTTTCCGTCTCTTTGTCTCTCTCTCTCTCTGTCTTCGGCGAGCGCACATGCTCTATAGCAAAAATCTCTCCTAAAAATAATGAACACTCTTTATGTGTAAACATAAATAATGTAGAAGTGAAAAGTATCCTTTTCAAATCAGAAAACATTACTGGCATTGTGTGCCTTGAAATATATACAGAAATAAATAACTGTAGACTCTTCTTGCCATCAAGAAAACATGGTTTTTCCAGTTTGGTTAGAGAGAGAAAGAGGGAAAGTGAGAAAGCAAGCCACCAGGTCCAGGACTCGAACCATGATCGGCCATGTGGGAGTCCAGTGCCTTTAAGCACTACACCACCTGTTGGCCTCTTATTATTATTTTAAAATTTGACAAGAGAGAGAAATAGAGGAGAAGGAGACAGAGTAGAGAGAGAGAGATAGAGAGAGAGAGAAAGTGAGAAAGAAAGCCACCAGGTCCAGGACTTGAACCATGGTGCCATGTGAGAGTCCAGCGCCTTAACCACCATGCCACCTGCCAGCCCCTGGATGTAGCTTTTCAAAACATGGATGTAGTGTGAGATAATTAAACTGAGGATATTACCATCTTCGTCATCTTCAACAAAGGACGACATTGTTTTGCACTTTTGATTTTCATTCTAGTTTTTTTTTTCTTTTAGATACACACACAATTGACAAGGCCCTCTTTTTTATTTTTTATTGTGTTGCAGTATACCATTCCATGAGCTATTTGCCTTTTTACATGCATTCTTGTGTCAAATGTGTTCTCCAGAGCCCCCTTTTCCCCTGCACCTCTCAGCTCCTGGTATCTACAGTTGCCCTCTTTATCTTTTTTTTTTTTTTTTTTAAGAATTATTTTATCTGGGGGCCAGCAGGGGGCGGGGGGGTTAAGGCGCTGGACTCCCACATGGCTGACCATGGTTTAAGTCCTGGACCTGGTGACTTGCTCTCTCTCTCTCTCTGCTGAGCATGTGTCCCCTCTAGAAAGTTTAACAATAAAAATGAAAAATAAATAAAAATAAAGAAATACTTCTTAAAAAAAGAAAAGAATTATTTTATTTAATTTTATTCATAATTAAAAAAAAATTCAACCAGAGAGCGAGAAGAGAGAAAGACAGCCAGCCCTGCTGTGTCTTTTATGTTTTCAAATATTTCAGTTTCTGCCAGAGAGTACAGACAGGTGGTATATGCTGAGGAGGGATATACCATGTTTGTCTTTCCTAGTTTGGCTTTTTTTTCCCACTTAGCATTAAGTCTTATATTAATAGATTCATCTGTTTCGTATTGACGGACAGGATCTCATTGTTTTTTTTCTTTATAGCTGAGTAGTATTCCATTGTCACATCACAGTTGTACGATCTGGCTGTGGAGAACTTCCATTCAGGCTCAGAGGCAGAAAGTAGTAAGATCAGTTACAGCTGTTTGCCATGACCTTGGAAGTAGAGGGAGGTGGGACGGTATAAGGAATTTGCTGATAGCCACGTACGATTTTTCAAGGACTTAGCATATACCCTTTTCATGCTTTCTTCCCCCTGATTTTACTTTATTGCCATGTTTCTGACTCTATTTTGTTTTTTAATGTTTTGCTATAGGGTGTGTGTGTGTGTGTGAGAGAGAGAGAGAGAGAAGGAAAGAATACGAGAAAGCATTCCTCCCAGGAGGGGAATGGCCATGCCCTCAATACCTTCTCTTCCAATCTCCTCTTGGAATTTTGGGCAGGCACACACCTGCGCCCACACTGCAGTGGGCCATGTGGGATCCAGTTCCATTAACCACTCCACCTCCAACAGGCTCTCAACTTTGTTGGGAGAAGCAGTCTTGGTAACTCAATCTGCCTTGACCTCAAGAAGCACGCCAGTAACTTCCTGTAGTAGCAGCTCTGGGAAGGGTGGCCTGGCTCTCTGGTCTCCCCTTTCCTCCTGGTTCTGACTGTTGACACAACAATACCATGGGCACACCAAGAAGCAGAGAGAAGAATAAATATCCTGACACAGAAAAAAGATCTCTTGGGTGTTTCTCCACCATCACTGCATTTAACTCAGAGGAAGTCTCTGCTTCAGGTTTTCTTCTGAGCATGAACGTCCATTTGTGGGACCAGCAGATGGCAGAATGGCTATGTCGCTGAACGCCCATGTAGTCAACTGTGGTTCGAGTCCTGGACTCAGTGGCTTAAACTCATGCCAGGCGTGTGTGCGTGTCCGAGATCCTGAGAGGAGAATGGAGGAGAAGGGATGGCGACATGGCCATCCACCCCTGGGGGGTGATTTCTCGCTTTCTGTCTCTCTGTCTCTCTGTCTTTTTGGAGAGTGCACATACCCTACAGCGAAAACCTCTCCCCCTCTCCCCCTTTTTTCCATTTGCATTCATAATTCTCTCATCCCCCTTTTCTTCTTAGATCCAACCTAAAAGACTTGGATATCTTCCATATCCTATTATCTACACTGCTTAGGCTTCCTGTGATTAATTGAGAGATGAGCGTTTTCCCACAATGCTCTATGGACAAACAACTATCAGGGGTCTAAGCTTCCACTGCAACTAATTTTCTTTGTAGCAGAGGAGACTCAGAGGATTTCTGATGCAATAGCTCCCCCCTGGAGGCCCCTTCCCCAGACGATGACATTGATCAGAGACTGAGGTGGCACTGGCTAAGCCCGTAATGCCAGAATACAGGGAGGTTTTATCAGGGACTGTCCTGGAGTGAGGAGGGTGGACATGCTCATGTGGAGTTCTCACTCTCTCTGCAAATGGACCCTGGTGAGTAGGAGTGAGCTCTTGGAACCCAGCTCATGGAGATCTTGGGTGTGCAGATATTTCTAGATGTTAATGGAGAGCATTATGCATGTAAAACATTTCATCGGATGCCTGCCCAACGTTGGCACTCAGTTGGTGTTGACTTTTCAGGGTGGGCATGTGCGAGTCGACAGAGCTGGACTGAATTAACTTGACACTTAGTTTAGCCCCTGAGAGGGAACTGCAGTAAATCCTATTTATTATGATTATTTTTACATTTTAAAAATTTACATTTCATCACGGTACATCTGTACAGCATACGAAATGGATTTTTTCCCCAGCATGAAAGACAATGAATATTAGGCAAGTCATAGATATTAACATTTGTATCATCACCAACAGACAACTTTTCAGTTTTGTACCTGTTAAATGCTTTTCCCCCTTGATCCTCCCTCTCCCACCTCCCATTACCCATCTCTTTCCATACTGTCTCCCGTCTGCTATGGATCAGCTGAGACACTTGGTGACTAAGAGGAACTATTTGGCTCTAAGTTGACAGCAAGGTGGAAAAATTACCATTGTTTTTCTTTCCTGTTTGAAGCCATGGAAGCACATAGCAAGATAGCCCCAGGATGTTTGCACAATCTAAAGGTAATATACTTAAAAAATAAACATTTGAAAGAGAATCAATGAAGGAACTCTCTGCAGGACACAGTAAACCCATCTCGGCTGAAATTCTAAGACAGAGGTTCTCCGTTGGGGGACTTTGCACCCCAGGGGACATTTGGAACATTTGCTGTGGCCTCGTGACTCTTCTCCGTAGCATCTTCAGCAGCCATGACTAACCCATGGCAACTCACATGTGGGTTGAAATTATTTGCCATCCTCACTCGGGCTTCTTCCTAGAGCTCTGCTCTTCCTGAGCTAAGTTTATTGTATAAAACATGGTGAATCACTCAACCTCAGACTTTGTGCTGGTGGGACTCTTGGGTCACTCAGGGTCATGTCTGCTCCTCTTCTCTCTGGTGGCTGCCATGTTTGTCATGGGCCTTCTGGGCAACGCTATTCTTCTCTTCTTGATCCGCATGGACTCGCGGCTCCACACGCCCATGTACTTCCTGCTAAGTCAGCTCTCCCTGTTGGATGTTGGCTTCCCTCTAGTTACCATCCCCAAGATGGCAGGCGACTTCTTGCAGGGGGAAGGTTCCATCTCCTTTGGCGGTTGTGCAGCTCAGATATTCTTTTTGACCATGATGGGTGTGGCCGAAGGCGTCCTGTTGGCCCTCATGTCTTATGATCGTTATGTGGCCGTCTGCCACCCCTTGCAGTATCCTGTGCTCATGAGACGCCAGGTCTGCCTGCTTATGGTGGGCTCCTCCTGGCTGGCAGGTGTGCTCAATGGCGCCGTGCAGACATCCGTCACCCTGAGCTTTCCCTACTGTGCCTCCCGCCTCGTGGACCACTTCTTCTGCGAGGTGCCAGCCCTGCTGAAGCTCTCCTGCGCGGATACCTCAGCCTACCAGTTGGCGCTGTCCACCTCGGGGGTGCTGATCCTCATCCTTCCTCTTTTTCTCATAGCCACCTCCTATGGCCACGTGCTGGAGGCAGTTCTGCGCATGCGCTCAGAGGAGGCTCGAAACAAAGCCTTCACCACCTGCTCCTCCCACCTCACCGTGGTAGGGCTCTTTTATGGTGCAGCCGTGTTCATGTACATGGTTCCTGGTGCCTACCACAGCCCGCAGCAGGACAACGTGGTTTCTCTGTTCTACAGCCTCGTCACCCCCACGCTCAACCCCCTCATCTACAGCCTGAGAAACCGGGAGGTGCGTATGGCTTTGATCAAAATGCTAAGTAGAGCTGGACTCAAGCCAAAGTAAGGATCTTGCAGGAACTAGCTGGCTTGGTTCCAGGGATTCTCCATCTCATTCAGCTTCTGAAAGCACCACGTAAGGGCAGCTGCTGAGGTCTAATGTCCAGGGCTATGTGTGTACAGCTGGGTTCATGTTTTTCTCGACGCCTTGTGGAATGCAATGGTGATAGCCCCAGGCACGTTTCCTTGAACAGAAATCTGGGAGGTTGAGCAGTTTTCTGTTATCACATCGGTAATTATACAATTAAGCTTTAACACTGGTTGACCAGTTGACCTACTAAGCCTGTTACGTCATCCTTAGGAGAGCTCTGAGTTGTAGGGATTATTATGTTTTATGTATGAGAAAAAAGAAACTCCGAAGGAAAAAGCACCCCCAAGGGGGGAATGGTCATTCTGCAATCACTTCTCCATTTCTGCCCCCTTCGGGATCTTGGGCACGCACACATGTTCAGCATGTCTCATAAACTTCTGGGTCTGGGCTCGAACCACACAGTCTGTCATGTGGGATCAAGCTGCCATCACACCAATGGCTATTCCCCCCATAGTCATAGTTAAAATTTTTTTTTTGTCTTATTTTGTCCTTCTACTGAAGATATAAGTGACTTACATACCACAATTACAGTATTACAGTATCTGAATTTTACTATATAGTTTCCTTTATCAGTGAGTTTTATTCTTTAATATATTATCATGTCACCAATAAGCACCCTGTATCTTTCAGCTTAAGGAAGTTCCTTTAGCATTTCTTGTAAGGCAGTCTTATGGTGATGCACTTTTTGGCTTGTTTGCTTTGATTTGAAAAATACCTTTAACTTTCATTTCTGAAGGACACATTTTCTGGGTAACATATCCTTGATTAGAAGTGTTTTTCTTTTTAAATATTTTTGTGATTATCATGAGGATTCCTTTTTACTTTATAGTTTCTTGTTTAAATTTCATTGTTGTACATCTCTATGACATACAATGTAGTTTTTCCAAAGCTCACGTAGAGTGTGGTAATAAAAGTCAGAGATATTATTATATGTATTATTTTCAACAGACACAAGAATTATGAAGATGCTTTTGAAAGTTTATTTTAATTAAAATATTTAATGTACATGTACGTGGGGCACAGTGTGATTTTTTTTATACATGAATACCATGTGTAATGATCAAATCTGGGTAGTTAGCATATCCATCATCTCAAATGTTTATCATTACTTTGTATTGGGAACATTCCTTCTTTATGCTACTTTGAAATACATGATAAATTATTATTAATTTTAGTTATTCTGTTGGGCTATAGAATGCTAGATGTTTTCAGATGGGGAAAAATCATTCCCCTTTCTCCTGACCCACACAATTTCTACTGAGAAATCCTCAGATATCTTTTTTTTTTAATGAAACAAACATTTTCAAAACAGCATCAAAAAGTAAGTGTACTTGACTATACTTAGCTCATTATACAGCAAGTAGGTGGACAGAATAATAATTCACGACAAACAGCATGTTGAATGAACTGACAACAGAGATATTTGGTCCAAGAAAGGCAGAGGAACTTTGTCCTTTAAGAATTAGAACCGAGGGGCTCCATAACCATCTGGCATCCGCTCAATGTTGTATCTATGGTTAGAAATGTACATGACAGGAACTCCTGGGGTCTTCTGGATTCTTCATTTAGGGTCTTGGTCAACTGTGGCCAGGATGTAACACTTTGCTGAGTTACTCTCTGTACTAAGCAGTCATCGCATAGGTTCCCTTATATGTGCATGGTCATCGTTCAAATCTTGGGTCTTTAGTGATCCTGAGAGCCACTTGATTCTTTCTAAACTATGTCTCAGACAAGAGATTGATAAGTTAAATCTTTGTTTCTTGCACAGAGTTTCCGGAGGTTTTATAAAAATACATATGTGGTTTTTGTTGATTTAGGGTATCAGCTATCCCTAACTTCTCCATATCCCTCTTAGAAGTTCGATACAAACACCCTCAGTCCCTAGTGGACACAAGATTACAATGACTACTGTCTTGTTAATGGGGTGATCCCCAAAGACTTGCTGGACCATGATACAATCATAGAACCCAACTGAGAAGGAAAGTCTAAAACATGTTTCTCCAGGTTGTGTTATCAACATGGGGGTGACAGGTGCAATGCTCCAGGGTAGGGGGATTCCCCAGAGCCCCTGGATGGGACTGAAGTGAAGCAGAGAAAAGACAGGGAAGCCAGAGCTCCTCTCATCACAGTGGCACTAAGAGAAAGGTCTAAGCACTGTGAGGTCCCTTGTAAATGCCATCCTTTGGCTTCCAGCTGTGCCCTTGTCTGGCACGCCAGTCTGTCATATATGCATTCTATCGGTTGAGGGCCTACAGTGAGAGTGGGGATCTGCTGTGCCCTACACAGAGATAGATTCTTCCTGGAAGGGGCTCATTCTTTAGATCCAATCCACACCCATCTTTTCTTCACTCAGCTTCCACAGAGGGTTTAGTCTGTATGTTAGGCAGACAGTGACATGTCAGTCTGTCAAATTTGTGTCTCGCTAGTCCTGCAGACTTTCCACACTGCATGTGAGCTGACGTTAGAGAGCTGTTTCATAGAGCATAGGCCAACTGTCTACAGAGATGGGGACCTGGTCCTGGGTGGGTTTTTCCCCCTTTACACTTGGGCTTTGGAAGAACGGATAGTCCGGCTATCTTTTCTGACACAGCCCATTCCAGAAGAGAACATCGAATGGTGAGTTCCATGTGGGTGACATGTGGTTGGAAGTCAGTTTATAACTGAGAATGTAAGTCAAACTGTGATTTTCATGTGTCTCTGTGTGTTTTTAATCCAGCCTAGGAATTTGGAAAAGTGAACATAAATATGGGAAATACACAAACCACTATATTTTCCTGCCTCTTTATTCTTTCCCTCTGTTTCTATTCTATTTTTTTTTTAAATTTGAATTTCTCTCCACCTCGTTAATGACAGAAGGAAGAAATCAGTATCTTCATGGTCCATCTTATCAGCTTCATCCCCATGATCAGACTTAGTGGGGCTTGGAATGAGTTAGAGTTTCAGGCCCTCAGCCCCCTCTCCTGCTGTCTAAACTGACTGAATGAGTCACACAAGCATATCAGATACACTGATCCCTTTGGCATGAAGCAAATGGTAGAATCAAGGAGATCACCCTGGGTACCCACTTCTGGGAAGGGCATTGTTGAAATATGACAAGTACCGCAGATGGGGGTGTGAGATCCATCAGTGTAAACAGACCACGTTCTGTGAAAACTCAGCTGCTGAATCCTGTCAGCTTGAGGCATTTGGCTTTGTGATTCTGAGGGCTAGAAGAGTCAAGGAGCTCCTCTTTCAGAAATAGATAATGTCTTTTTCTTTCATCCTGATTTCGAACATCTTGAAATATGGAGACCCTGTATGGAAGTGGGGCTTTATGTAGCGATCTGGCATGTATCTGTCGTAGCAGTATGATTATTTTTTAAAAATTATTTGTTTTGTTTTATTTATTATTTTGAAGTATTTGTTATAGGCCACATGTACTTATCAGAGAGAGGGAAAGTGAAACAACATAAGCACTGCAAGAGGAGGAAAATATATTCAAAATGTTAGGAGTAAAACCATTTCAAACAAAAGTACTATATCCGCCAAGATTAGCCTTCCTAAGGGAAGAAAATTCTAAAACATTCAGATAAACAAAACCTGAAAAAAATGATCAACACCAGACCAGCTCTTCGAGAAGTTCTGAAGGGACTCCTATCCCAGGAAAAGTAAAGACTAAGAGACAGAAATTAGAGAAGAAAACATGACCAAGAAAAGGGCCAAATGAATGGTAGGGTCGAGTTCAGAAACATCAGTAATAGTGTTGAATGTTAACTCCAGGATTTGAATGGAAAGGTCAGACCACGGTAACAGTGAAAATTCAACAACTGAGAGTCCATGAGACTGAACTGGTGACATAGAATTCTATGACTTATGTCTAAAACATTATTGGTTTTCTTCGATGCTTTGTCTGCCAGATTTAAAGATTTTGGTTTACTTTTGAGTTGTTTATAAGTTCAGCCAACTTGTTATAAAAAATATTTTTTGGTTGAAACAAACTTTTCTCTCTTCTTGACCCCTTTGCAATTGGAAAATATTAGTGAGCATTCTTATTCTGTGGCAGAATGGTTATTTGCATAAGTTCAATAATACAATAGTGTCTGTTGCCTTGCATGAGAAATTGAATTCTTTTTTTTTTTTTTTGCTATAGGGCGCGTGCGCTTGCCAGACAGACAGAGAGAGACATAGAGACAGAAAGTGAGAAATCACCCCCCAGGGGGGATGGCCATGGCGCAATCCCTTCTCCTCCATTCTCTGGGATCTTGGGCTCACATGCACACGCGCCTGGTGTGAGTTTTAAGCCACCGGGTCCAGGGACGCGAACCGCGGTCGACTACGTGGGAGTCCAGCGACATAGCCATTACGCTAACTGCTGGCTCCCAGAAATTGAATTCTTATGAAGCTTTCTGCAAATAAGTTAGTGCTGGGGTCCGGCCTCGGCAGTGGTGGGTGGTTCGTACACAGGAAGGCAACACGGGTGATCAGGAACAAAAAATTAGACTGAAACCTCATTGCTCCTTAGCATGTTCTCAGCCAGCCACAGCCAGAGCCAGCTCCAGGCTGCCGC